AAGAAAGAAGAGATGATACTTGGGGAAAAAAAGAAAGGATAAAGGAAGAAAGAAAAAGAAAGAAAGAAGAGATGATAAAAGGCTATGAAGCAGATCAAGATCTCTAATAAATAGAAATATGATATGATCTATGGAAGGAGAGAGAGAAATAGAGCAAGGAAATCCTAAAATGGTACAGAGTGTAAAAGATGAAAAAAAATCAAACAAGGGCATAAAACACCTCTGTTTCAGGATGATATAATGATATGTAAGTGTGTAATCATTTGCATATAGACAAGAGACAGTCTATATAAACCAGAGTAATCATGAAGGATGAAGAATTTGTCTGTAGCAATTGCAAGTGACTAGTGAGTATCTCAAGATACTCAACAAAATCTAAAGAAGGGTCTGTAACATTATTGGTCCTAACCTGGCATTTCGACTTCAGTTACTTTCCCACCTCTTCCGTCTGTCTTTTCTATAAATATTTTCATAGAAATTGTTCTAATGAAGCTCTCCGTCTTGGTACCTTGACCACATGAATTTAAGCATACTACTAGATTGGAAACTAAGACTCATTGGTTTACTGTTTAAATAGCTAGAAAGTTTTATTCTAATAGTTTCTTTTCTCATACTTCTTGCCTGTGGAACTTTTTTCCAGTTTCTTGCTTCCCCACCACCTATGATCTTGAAAAATTTAAATGCAAAGTCAATTGCCATCTTCTGTCAACCTGGAACATTTTCTATTATTGCTCTTTCTCCTCATTAAAGTCTTCTCATTCTCTTTCACTCCCAGTAACCTCTGGCATTATCACCTTGCTTTGGAGTGAAATGATTTAAAAAATAAAGAAAGAAAGAAGAAGAATATTATCACATGTCACAAGAGACATTGTAAAATATTTCCTGATATTTATTGAAAAAAAAAAACAAACAAATATTTACATTATATTCAAGAAATTATGACAGTCATAAAAGCAAAAGGAAATGAACATTAATGTACAGAGTGTAGCTGTTAAAATAGTGTGCTTATCTGAATAAATATTTATATAGTTTAGTCAAATTGACCAAAATTAGGCAAAGCAAACTTAAACCTCTCACATAAAGAATTATTAATATCATACTAAAAATATAATTCTGTTTATCACTATGGAACCATTAAGAAGGTGAAATGGTGCATTATAGGTAGAAGTATTAACAGGTAGTGTAATGGTTAGTGACTCAGACAAAGAAATCAGTAAGCAGAGTTCAAGTTCCAGTTGAGTTTGTTGATTTCCTTTTTTACAGATACCCTTGGGAAAGGTATGAATGCATTTCTTCTCCCTCCCCTCAACTATGGGTTAATTAGCAGGGCTAGCAGAGCTTCCTTGCCTTGATTTGGCAATCAGTTTAGAAAAAGAAAAACTGAATTCAAAACCAGCCTAAAATTGGATAGACTTTGTCAAGTCATCTTGACCAAGACACACCATTACTGCTATAGCTGCAGTATATGTGGTGACACTCCACATCTAATCAGATATGAGACTTCTGTCAAGTCATGTCATAGTATCCACAGATTCCTTACTTGATTATCTTGGTTTACTACAATGTCTTGGGAAAGACAGTGGAGTGGTTTCCTGTTGCCTTCTCCACTGTTTTTAATTCAGAGTTGTACTCCGAAACTGGATGCCACTCAAGACAAGAGAGTTCAGTCTATCTTCCTATTTAACTTGTAGTTGCAGAAGAAAAAATAGATTCCCAAGGGCATTAATGCAAAGTAAATGTTATAAACTAAGATAGAAGTTGAACCAATTTCACTTTCCACATTGATAAATTAACTACACACATTTCCTCAATTAGAAAGTATTATCCTTTATTTATTTGCATATAAGTTTTGGGTACAATAAATAAATCAATAGCAAAACTATAAAATATTAGTCAAAATAAAACTTTTACTTATACTTGATAACGTTTTACTTAATACAAGTAAAATAAAGATAATAATATAGCAAAAGTGAAATTTGGCCATTTTTTAGTACTTCATTTGATCTATTCTGTAGAATTTGGTACAAAGAGAAATACTGTAATCTTTTGTGTATAGATCACAATGGAGTATAAGACACAGTTAAAAAGATAGAGAAATTCCAGGGAAAAAGAAGCTTATTTTCATCTATAAAATACACCTGATTTTAGAGAAAAGAATATGACCAAGACTTGTGAAAAAGGAAGAGGAAAGAATGACCCCTGTCCCTCCACCTAGAACATTTTGTTTACTCTTGTGATTACAAAAAACATGATAATGATCTCTGGAATATAAGACCACTAAATCACCAATAGACATTGAGAAAATAAATCAAAATAAAATTGAATAAATATCAACTTGTTTGTTTGGTTTTAATGTTTTTGTGACAAAATGAAGTATTAGTGTTGTACTGATAAGGTACTGTTTGTAAGGAATCTTGGCTCTTTTTCATTGCTCATAGGCATACAAAATCTCCAAGTGGAAGGTTGTCCTCATCAAACCCTTCAAACTTACCTTTATCATTGGATCATAGAACTGATCAAATTCTTTCTATCAGGTTGTAGCACACATCTGTCATTATCATCATTGTTTTATTTTTTTGTGGTATTTCTGTTGATATTTGTTTCTGTATGAATTCCTTGTATAGGATGTCATCATTGGTGCCATCAAGCTTGTTTGAATGCTTTGACAACTCTTCCCAGGCATTGACAATTCACTTGCAGATGTCTTCAAGTTCTGGTTTTCTCATTCTGCCTCCCGATGTGTAGATGTGATTTGTTTCCTGCTGTAATGGAATGTCTCACACTCCCTATCACCTATGTGGACTGACTATATCAGTAGCTATATATAGTGAGTACAGGATATACCTGGGAGCTTGCTTCAGGAATTACTAGCCTGCCACCCGATTCCCTGTCTTTCAGTAGTGTATTCTCTTACAATAAACCTCTCTTTCTTTCATCTACACACGTGTTGCTGTTCCTTTAACTCTAGTAGAACCTTTGACTGCTTGTAACCTCTTTAAGGATACAACATTTTCCTTTGTTGCAATATGCCATTAGATAGATATTATCTTTCTAGTAAATAAATAAATCCAAATTGACCTGATTTTCTCTGTTTTGAGTCACGGATAAAAAGGGGATTGAGTTCTAAGCTAAAGTATAAGACACAGTAGACATTTGGGCATGATTTTGGATGGGAAAAAACTGTCTTATACACACAAGATTATGGTACTTAAAATGCTTGAAATAAAAAAAAATGTAGATTTTCATCCAAAGAACCAAATGTATTAAAAATCATACATTTCCTCATTAGACTTATGCAAAAGTTTCCAGAAATTTATTAAGGAAAACATATAAATTCATATCATCATTTACATTTATCAAAGTATTTTGTCCTGCCTTTTTTTAAAATTATGCCACCTTTTGGGCAAAGTGTGTAATTATAAATTTGATTAAATGATTTTGTGATTAATTTTTTAGAATCTTTGGAACCATTGATCAAACAAAGAGTGCAGCATGAATTAAAAAAAGTTAACAAAAAGTTAACAGGTCTGTAAAATATGCTGTACAGAGAAGAATTTTTTTATGCCAAACTGCATAATCATTTGCTGCACCATATTTGTAACATGAGGACAGACATTGTTATGCAGCAAAAACATCAGTTGCTTTTCGAAATAAAGCACTTTTCTCTTTTTATCAAACAAATAGACTGATTTGCCTCAAATATTTTTACAAGTTTAAATGTTTGTACAACATCTTTCTTCAAGGCTTCTTCCAACTTGTGAATTTTTAAGTTCTGGAAAATAAAAATTCTATCTGAACTGGAGCTCAAAATCTTCTGATTTTTAACTCCACATTTTTGTTTACTAATGTTCACTCTATAAAAGGCCCAAAAGCCACTCAAGGTAGAGGATTAATGAAGGAGATTGTTGTAGGAGTAGTAAGAGGTATAGTTTATGAGGATATGTAGAGTAGATAACAGTTAACCCTAAACACAAAGAGATTAAGATTATAGTGATCAGGAAAGCATCCTCTCAAGAACATGTTCCACAAAGTAGCAGTTGAAGGGAAGAAGCTGTTTGTGTGGAACTTCCATCTTACTAATGGCACTTGGTCTGAAGATCACACTGAGTTCAAATTGATGACACATGATTGCATTTACTGCATCCTTACAATAAATTTCAGTGATTCACTGCTTAACTTCCATTTTTTCTCAGATTAAATATGAAAAGTAAATGTGCATTTCATATACAGCCATAATTTTCACCAAAATAAAGTACCATTATCTCTTATGAAGGTATGATGTAGTAATGGATAGTGACTCAGATTGAGGAATCAAAGAGCTGGGTTCAATTTCCAGTCAAGTTTGTTACATTCACTTATGTGCAAATACCCTTGGAAAAGGTATGAAGATCCCCCCCCCCAGCTATGGGTAAATAGCAGGACAGACTGGGTCCTATAGTCTTGGATGAAAATCAGCCTAGGAGAAGGACAACTCTGAATTTAAAAATGTCTGTAGTCCTGGTGAAGCATTTACCATGTAGTTAATGAAAGGTGTTTACAATGACTCTATGATCCCAATTGCAGTCAGATGAAAAAAGAAATCTCTTTTCAACAAAAATAAAGTACAATTATTTGTTTTTTCCAAATACTGCTGAAAGTGTGTACACACACCCACATATACACACAGATAAAGAACTGAGTAAACTTCAAAGACATTTATCAGGTTTCCCTAACATTTGGGTAATTTTTGCATCAACCTAGTATTTAAAAAGATTTTTTCCATTTGGCGTAAACCTTTCCTTTATAATTTTCTTTATTACACAGAATCATTTACTGCAGTCCTTTTGATTATTACAGAAGAATTCAAGGAAAGGAAATAGAGATTTATTTTCTCTACATTGGAATGCTAAGTAAACATTCCTAAAACTTCCCAGAAGAAAAAAAAAATTCCTTTTGAATGATTGACAAGTTAAAGTGAGTCAGGATCACCACTGTGGCAATTTAACTCTGCCCTTAATGTTGAAACAAACATGGAGGGTAGATAGTGCTGACCTTCTATAGCAACCAAACAACCACAACAGTCATGTAATTGCAGACAGCTTTTTGTTATTCAGTGGGTACCTGGGTCAAGTTTTGGGACCTTACCAATCTCACTTGTCTGCAGGCTGTTGTTCTTATTCCACAATGGTCTTTCCATTGAAATAGGGGTTAAGAGTTTATTACCTTCTGTGTCGAAAACAGAAATCAGCCAACAAACATTGTGAAAATTACCAGAGGCTTTTCTGCTTTTAAATGTTAATCTTTATATATACTGTCAGCTGAGATCCCTCCCCCTCTCTCTCTCTCTCTCTCTCTCTCTCTCTCTCTCACTATATAAATATATATATATATATATATATATATATATATATATATATATATGTGTGTGTGTGTGTATGTGATATATATATATGATATATCATGATAAAAGAAGTACTGGTTCTCTGTATGTCATAGCTTATGGATACATCATGTTGAACTCCATCCCCACTGCCCCACACAGTATGACTACCAAAATTAAGCGTTGAGTTTGGTCTGTACCTAGATGAGTGACTGCTTGGGAATATCAAGTGCCGTAAACTTGAATATGCAGGTGGTTTGTGGTATTCATTTATGCACAAATACCCTTGGAGAGGTATGAACCCAGTTCTTCTGGGTTAATTAGTAAGACTTGTATCAACAATTATTATCTCATTTGTATCATTATCATATTTATAAGTGTATATATTTTTTTAAATCGGTATCACCCCATGCAAGGCAGCAAATCCACTAAAACACAAGGAGTTACAGGGTGTGGAAGAATTAAGAGCAGAAACATTAATAATCAGATAGTGATTGACATTGCATTTAAACTTTTGCAGATTATTGTTGACTGAAATGCATGGAGCTGGAAGGGAGTTCCACAAGTGAGAAAAGAAACTGTTAGCATAGAACTTATAGTTACATCTAGCCAGCTCAACTGTAAATTGATGAGATCTTGCCACCAGTCTAATATTGCTATGATGTTGCGATGTTCACCCGGCCAGTCCATTTGATGTTCAAACTCTGCGTCTGACAATTGAATGAATCATTTCAGTCCAAGCCACGCCTTGTCTCACATTGTGTTTAATTTAGATCACAAGACTGGTAATGGTCAGTTGTCGATAGGAATCGTTGAACTGGTCAGGTCCAGACAAAGTGAAGCCACAAGTCATAGGATAAATTGTAATAAAGAAAATGTTTTATATGTTTCTTGTACAGAGCTGGGAGTATAATATCAGTTCTTCAGATAGAAATATATGTTCTTCATGCAGGAATATATTTGTCATGAAAAGTTATTTGACCCTTCTCTCTTTGAATATTTCATGAAATTTTATTCGTCCTGACTAAATCTAGACAAGGTTTCTGGAACACGGCTCAAAGTTGGAGATCTTCTTCAGCAGCAGGAAGTCTTGTGAATTCAGTGAAGCAGTCATCCCACACCTGGTGTCTGGTGGCTTCTCTTTTCAATTGTTTTGATTCTCTGTTTATATGGACCTCTGTCCAAAACTGGCATGGGGGTCTGATGTGGGTTGGGATTTTGGTGAATCCCCTTATCTCTACAGAGAGTTCTTTGACTCTGGGAAATTAATTGCATACCCAATTTTGGAGAGGCCTCTCCTCCAAGTAGTAGTGGTGGTAGCAGAATATTGACCCACCTTAACTCCTTCCTTGTTGTATTGATGCCTCATACCAATACTGCACAAGGGGGTGCAGGAAATTCCTTTGTCTCCCATGGTGTTCTACCTAGGCCTCTAACTTTGGTTGTCATTTCAACCAATCCAATTTTTAGATTGCATGGGGGAGCAGGCATGGCTTAGCTCCAATCATTAATTTTAATTAACAATCAAAATTTTCATCAATGAAGTTCCTCAACCCCTTCCCAATTGAACACTCACTAGCCACTCCTCCAACAGTCTCCGCTTGTGGCATTTTGGTTCTTATCTAAAGCACTCCAGCGATTTACACCTTCCTCTCTTTTTTTTGACAAGTGATAAATAAAAAAATCAATTCTCCAACTTTACCTTTGTTTCCAGAACACCTTAAATTTTATCTCTCTACTTTCTTGGCCAGCAGATAATTCCATGGCCTAGATTTTAAAAACAATAGTGTCTCCATTTCGGCTTTTACACTGCCTCTCTCCAACCCCTGTGGGTTTAAATTATCCAAATGGTTTTTTCAACTAGAGTCCCCAACATAATAATAAAGCCATTTTACCCTCAACCAGCCCCCACTTCTGACTTCAGAGGTCCTCATATCTCTATTCTTCGGTTGAAGAAGAAATAAAACAAACCCTCTGAATTTACTAAAATCTGGTGTCATCTCTGGGTATACTTATTGATCTATCCTACAACATTTAAGGTGTCACATTTCTCTTGGTATAGCTATCAAGCTATCACTTCAGCCCTTAAAGTCTCACATCTCTCTCAGCATAGCTATCAAGATATCCTTTAAACCCTTAAA